GCAATGCTGCAGGGTATACGATGCAGCAATATCGGTCGACATTCGCCACTGCTTTCTGAACAGCACGAAAATTTATGTCGCGCCTATGAAACGATTATTCGACATTGCGGTGAAGATAGCAGTCGGCAGGGGCTACTAAAGACCCCGGGAAGAGCGGCGAGGGCTATGCTTTTCTTCACCAAGGGCTACGAAGATAGTCTGGATGGTAAGTTGCAGCCTGTCCTTAAAAGATACGAAATGTTTTTTTTCTCATACAGTGTTTTCAGCCGTCTCTAAAAGGGGTTCTGTTTAGCCTGAGGCTTCCATATGATTTTAGTTAATTGGGTGCCAACAGTGTTCGGAACTAAATCTCTGTTTGTGCGTACGCAAAATATAGGCATGCCTTACAGCCGGATTTAAAATACTTAAGTCGCACATGGGTACAGAATATCTTCGCGAAGCTTCAGCTTCCTAACTTGGTTGGTGCAGTCGCTTTTCGTCACATATATCTTTAAGGGGTTTGAACGCACGATGCAGGCGTAAGTCAAATCCATTTCAAATCTACGTACCCGTGTATGGAAAACAAATATTTTCGCAAAATGAAAGCGCTCCAACTAGTCCATTTCCCAAGTTGGCATCCTACCGAAAACGTAGACAAAGCTGAATTTGAAATCTTTAGCTCACACAGGGGCACAAACATTCCTCTGAAGTTTATTTTTTCTAACTGCTCTGACTCCTGATATCGTTTTCTCATCAAAAAATTTGCGTGAATAATTTAGCAGTTCACATGTGAGATACAAGGGTCCTTACATATTGATTTTAGGCTGTTTGGATGAACTTGGGCTAGGAATATCTTTGTGAAATTCCAGCTTCCTAGCTTCTACGGTTGCTGAGCTGAATGTGGGTAATAAAAATCCGAACATACACGCACATACATGCAAACTAACAAACTTTTGACAATACGGGCTTCTGTAGTTGATGAAAATGCAACCCAGGCTGGAACGCACCGGGCGAGCCGGTGCGATCATGCGTTTTTGCATCAAACTTTCGGATACTCCATCATATTTCCCTGCCCTTGCCCCACCCCTCCACTCGATGTTTCCGCCCTTCCCCCGCCCCCGTGCTGGGCACCGGTCTTCTCGAAGCGGTGATATTGTGCTACATTACACAGCACGACTCAAAGCGGTATTCTGTGGGTAAGGTAGGATGAGATGTACGTAGTCCACAGGCCTCGATGAGCGGTCTAACGCTGCTCATTGTGGCGTTATGTGTTAGGTGGGGGATGGTTGGGGATTGTTCATGATAGTGGGCTATGAGTTGGTGTTGGGGCGGAAGGGGGGAGGAAAGTGTTGGGGAGGTGGCCGGTGTTGGGGGGACGGTCGGTGTTGGAGGGTGCCCGGTGTTGGGGACGCTCGGTGTTGGGTGGAGCGGGGGGAAGAGGTCGGCGTTCTTTCGGTTCTCGTTTGTGCTTGGCCTCTGCAGAAGTTCGGGGAGAGAGGCGCCTTCTACGATTGCTCTGGGAGAGGGATACTGTAGTGTTTTGTTCAGGATAGGAACAGCGGTGTCTCCCTTTGAACAGCCATGGCACCAGCCTCCTAAGAACAGCTGCGTAATCCACATCTCGGAACAGCCACGGGAAATGCCTACTTTGGAGGGCTCAGGTAGCAACTGTTTTACTATAAAAAACTGATTTTACCGGTTTTAGCAGCTGTTTTATCGGTTTTTTGCCCGAAGTCCGCTCGTTTTTCGGTAAATGTTCGTTTTGTGAAAAAATGACAAATGCAAATTTTTTGAAATGCAAATTTCCAGTTTACTAAAAAGTAAAACTATTGCCCGAGCGGTCGTTTCCAAAAAAACCGCGTTCATTTACATATACGATTGCAGTTAAGGTCC